GATCTTGCTTATTAAAACTAAATCGATTCTCTATTGATGTTTGTGATGAGGTCATTTTTTCATTTTTTTTATTGGTGCAATTAAGATAAATTATGTATCGTTTCTAATTTTTGATATGAGGCTACGAAAATGCATCCTACTTACCGAATCAAAATGTTCTCCAAAGTGTGATACAGTTATACAACTTTTTTATAAATATTTTTTGTAGCATGTTTGAAAAAAAGGTGTAAATTATATTTTTTTTAAATTTAATTTTTTTAAAATATTTTTTTGTTTTCAAATAATTTTGATGTACTAACATTAAAAATAATTTTTAAAAAATAAAAAATAATTTTAATACATTTTAAAAAAATATTTTGAATTGTTATCACTACAACAATCTCGGCGTTTAATAATTGAATTGTGTGAAATTATTAAATTTATTTTTATATATAATTCTTATATAACATAAAAAATTTCACTTTTATATAAAAGAACGAGCAACACGTCAATGGTATTCAGAGGGTTTGAAAATATAGTATATATTATTTTTTAAAGTATTTTTTATTTTTTAAAATTTATTTTCGAAACTAGTATATTAAAAATTAAAAAAAAAACTAAGAAAAAATTAATTTGATGCAGGAACAAATTTTAAAATTTGATGAAAACCATGTTTAACCACACCCCTTGATAATTTATTTTGAATTATATTATAAATTTCACTTTTCTTAATCCTTCACTCTATACATTATGATTATTGAGAAATTTAGTGGATCCAAATCTTATATGCTACAAAGTTATATTCTGTTCATAAAGAAATGTTATAAAGCCAGGTACAGTAATTACAAAAATTAAGACTTACTTCTTTAACAAAAATTGAACTATGTAAAAATTAATAAAAAGAGGATATTTTGATTGATTACTATTAAATTTGGACAGTGTTTCTCTATTTGAAAGGAAAGACTGTATTTTTCAAAGTATTTTTTTTATTTATTAATATCCAAGATAAAAGAAGCTTATAAGTGCTTCAAATACAATGTGTAAATTGCATGCAAGAGAATAAGAAATTTAAAAATTAAAAATAAAACTTGGACGGTAAATAACTTAAAGTGACTTCAATTATCTTATCAATTTTTTACAAACTTCCATGACTATAAATCAATTAATTATTCATCATAAAGAAAACAATTAACTAAGCGACAAAATATCCCACAAACATATATATACCCTCATTTTAAAACTACAGCATGAATGCAAGGTAAAAAGAATACAATTTAAGAAAAATGTTTTTGAAAACCAAAAAATAGGAAAACAAATTCTAAAATGAAAACCTTTGATCCATCCTTCCCGACTACTAATAAAATATGGCACCACAAGTAATCTTTCTAAAAGTAACGGTATTTTTTAAAAATTAAAATTTATTTTTATTTAAAATTATTTATTTTTATTTAATTTTTTATATTTTAATATTAAAATTAAATTTTAAAATATAAAAATATTATTTTAATATATTATCAAATAAAAAATAATTTAAAACACAATCTCAATCGCAATTAAAAAAAAAACGCTTAATCTTCCCAGTTAACAAAATCAACGGCCAAGATTTCTATATAAAAGAATCACCTTCTCCTTCTCCCTCACATCTCAAATATCTATTTTTTCCCAGACTGGGAAATCCAAGGCCAAAAAAAAATGCTTCTCAGAAGCTCATCAACGCCAATACTGAACACGTGGATCCTTCCACATTCGAAAGAACCGTCACCAGAACCTGAATCTCTACACCAAATCCAAAAATCCCGATCCATTTCGTTAACAGCATCATTTTCTAGTTCATTTTCTTCCATTTCCTCACGGGACCATGATTCTATTAAAAGAATGACAAGAGCCTTTTCCGAGACTGATTTAAGAGACCTTTCAGTGCCAAAGAGAAAACCCAGTAGAATCTTGAATGGAATCTCTGTTGACGAGGAAGTTGAAGAAGAAGTGGAGAAAAAGGTGTCATTTTTGGAGAATGGTTGGTTCTTTGAAGGATGTGAGGTTGGAGTGAAGGGTGAGAGTGATAGTGGAATGTTAGGGGTCATGGTGACGGGTGGTGGTGGTGGTGGCGGTGATGGAGGGAAGTTTTATGGTGGTGGTGGGTCGGATTTTGGTGATGATGGAGGATCCGGGTTTGGGGAGTCTAATGAGGGGATTGAGAGTACTGATATTTATTATCAGAGGATGATTGAAGCTGATCCTGGGAACCCTCTTCTTCTTAGTAATTACGCTAAATTCCTGAAAGAGGTATCCGTTTGAAGTATATATTGCAAAAGGTTCTTACTTTCATGGTTTTTAATTTTGTTGTTGATGTTTTGTGTTTTATCTTTTGTTGAATTTGTTTGTGTTATGGTTAAATTTTACGTTATGTGTTATGTTTGCTTTGAAATCCAAAGAAATGGGAAGCTATGTTTCTGTGTTGTATAGTTAATGTAATGATATATTAACAAGAAATAGCTGCCGGAAACTTTTTTTTTATTGAAAGTTTTGTTCTTTACAATAGGAATTTTCTTTTAAATGATATTCTCATAGTATAAAGTTTTCAAAACTCCATGCTACAGAATCATTAGAAAAACTGTTTTGTATACATTGAAAAATAATTTTCAAGAACAAATAAATTAATAAGTGAATTGGAGCCGATCTTGGTAGGCAAGATTGTTAGAAATTTATTGTTTCGGAATTGGAACAGGTTCGTGCGGATTTTGTGAAAGCTGAAGAGTACTGTGGGGGAGCGATTTTAGCAAACCCCAATGATGCAGATGTTCTTTCAATGTATGCTGATTTAATATGGCATAGTCATAAGCATGCTTCTCGGGCAGAATCTTATTTCGATCAAGCTGTTAAAGTTGCCCCTGATGATTGGTAAGCACCGTTCTTGATTGGAGAGTCGTCTTAAAATTTGTTGCTGGACCATTATAAACATGGATCATATCATGATCTCAGTTTCAATGTTTAATGGGAAAAAAAGAGAGCATGTGCATAGACAATTATCAGTATTACAGTATTTGCTTTCCTTTTGTTGCTGTAGTTAATCTTGGAATCTGATGTGATGGCTGCCATGTATTGATTATGATTTGTTTTGATGCTGCAGCTATGTGATGGCATCGTATGCACGGTTTCTTTGGGACGCTGAAGAAGAAGAGGATGATGAACAGGGAGAAAATATAAGCGAGTTGTTGCCACCAACTTTTTCCCATGGATCTACGCCTCCTCTCTCTCCTTTAGCTGCCACATCTTGAGATCACAACCTCTGCCAAAAATCTTGTATCAAAGCTTAGACATATCCTCTGACCTTTGTTCATATATACATCCTTTCCTTTTTGCAATTTTTTTAGTAACCTTTTAACTGATTAATAAGCTTTGCCCGTCCAGCTATTTAATGTAGAAAGTAAAGTAATATTGTGTTTTTATGGAAACCTCTCTCTGTGCTTGGCTTCACACAATTGTCAATATAGCTTCCGTGTTCAGGGAGGTACTGCTGCTACTGCGTAATGGAGTTTAAACTCTCATTTCCTCCAGTGCTTTAGATTAGCATAACAAGGACAAGAACAATGCGTTTGGAATGTTATGTAATAACTCTTGATTTTCTTTAGGGCTCTGCTTCCCCTTGAAGGAAATTATAAAGCCTGGATGTGCTTAAATCATTAAATAATCATAATCTAACCTCTCCTGTATTCCATAATTTTACCAGCTATTCTGTTCAAAGTTAGCAAGCCCTAGTGGTGTCAAAATTTCTTTATACAGTTTGCCCATGCTGCTTAGGTGCTATTTGTATTTTGAGTTTATAGTAATTATTTTTTGTTTATTTTTATATTTTAAAAGCATTTTTAAAAGAATTTAAATTTTTTATTTTTTTATTTTAAATTAATATTTTTTAATATTATTAAATTATTTTAATGTGTTGATATAAAAAATAATTTTTCAAAAAAAAA